AAAACGCTTTAAAATAGTTATTTTTGATTTGTTTGTTGATAAAGCAAGAGTAAATTAGTGTTAATTTAAGATTTGTTGATTCTAAAAAAATAACAAAACCTTCAAAGTGGCGAATTTTCCACATATTTTCTATTGTCCACGTTTTCCAATTTTCAAGTTTCAAAATTTGGCAAATTATTAAAAAAATTAAAATACGACGCATTTTGCGAAAAAGTGCCAAATCTAACACTCAGCGACTTTTCAACAGAATAAAATTTAATCAATAWTCATCAGAATCACCTTAAAATCATTTACATTATTAATTATCCTCACTATAACCCAACAAAGATAAATAATTCGTTTAAACAAACGTCACATCATGCTAATTAAATTAGTTCTTGAATATAAAAGCTCCAAAATTACATTTTTGTGCTCAGTATTGTCACAATGTTGCACAAATTATTATTTCTTGTCGCAATAATTTTTGTTTTGTGTGAAAAATCAAATACTGAAACTACTACTGAAAAACTCAACGACACAGATGCAGCACCACAAGACTTGTAAGTACTGAAATAATCCCAAAAACGTTATTTTCATTCAATTTCATTGAAGATATGTCATAAAAACCGTCGTTTATGAAGTTGGGATTCTCACAGATGCTGGAAACGACACAGATTCGAACAACACGTAAGAATTTTTTTTTGTTCTTCAACTCGCCGCTACGCCGCTCGTGTTGTTCAATTTTTCTGTTTCATTTTAGTCATGACCAAGTCGATGTTTCCTTCTTTGACCCGTCGCAAAATGGCAGTATTGACCTCTCAAACATCCCTTTACCRATTCAGACGAATGTGAGTGGAGTCTCCGTCACAGGGCTGCTTCCTGGTYCGAATTTGGCCTCAATTTTGATTCCCCCAAGTGATGGGTTACCGGTTTTGCCCAAAAAACAAGTCACTGTCACGCAGAATATCAGTACGAATAATCCCGATAAAGGGTCGGAGATTATTTCGAATTTGCCCAAACTTTTGGGTTTGACGAAGAAAAATGACACGGAGACGAGCAATGCAAAGGGGGATTAGGGAATTGTGTGATTTGAGAATTGTATTTATTTATTATTAAAATTATTCTATCAAATTTGGTCCATTTTTAGCTTCAAAAATCGTTTATTGATCCTCATTTATCACTACATTTTTTTAATAATTTGGAATTAAGTTAGCAACATCAAGTACTAGAGTACTGTCACGTCTCTTATGCAATGTTACCAACTTAATTTCATAGTCATAGGCCACTGTCCCTAAAACTTTTACCACACCACATTTGTCCAAATTTGATTAAAAATTTACAATTCTTATATGGAATTTCTTATGTTTTGTCTTTTTTTTTCTCAAATTTATTCTGTTGTAACTTTTTTAGTACTATATTAATCACAAAATGATTAAATTTTGTGTATTTTTCATTTGTTTCCATCTATTAATTCGTTTTCATTTATTCTATTGTTATTGTTTTTTTGTATCTCATTAATTGTACAGGTTTTTCCAATAAATGTAATAAAATACGATTTTTAAGAATTTACGTTCCTTTTTCCTTTCATTTTTCCATTTTTATTCCTTATTTAATGCGTTCTCAGTTTTCGCAACTTTAATTCAGAATTTTTCAACGAGAACAACAAACTTATTTTTTTGTGTTTTAACTTCAAAATTATTGTTTTTTTAAACAGCGTGCGCCAGAACTCGCGACACAGAGAAAAAAGCTATGTAAGGTAAGATATCAGGAACATAAAAAAAATCTTAAAAAAAATCTATAAAAATTTCGAAGTTATGAGAGTTTAAATTTTGCATTTTGACTATTTATTTCTGTTGGAAAAATAATTTTCCAAGTTTTTTTGGTACAAGCTATATCATAAATTAGAACTCTGTTTAATGTTATTTGTGGCTTTCATTGGCAAATTTTTGCTACCTTTACTAAATAATTATAAAAAAAACATAAAAAAAGTTAAATGTCAAAAAATATGTGTCAAAATTATTGACAGAATTTTTTAAATATTTTTTTCAAGTTCCTGGTATCCTATTTTATTTGAAATTTTTCACTAGAGCGCGAGTTCAAAATTCTTAGATTTTTCATTTTTTTTTTATTTAATTCTATTGTTTTTCTAAGCAATTGTTCTTTGTTTGGTTACAACTTAATATACAGGCTGAACCGAAACTAACACACAAAATTCATATTTTTGGTAGGGGTCAGTTTTCAAAAAAATTCTCAAGCAAGTCGATTTTATTTTTATAAATGCACATGTTGACAGTACTGTAACATTATTTTTTTTAAGTTGCAACCAACAATTTTGTTGAGTGTTTTTAGTAAGCATCTTTAAAAAAGATATTATCAAAAAAATAAACGTTACGTAATAAAATTCATTGACAAATAAAATTACGCTACTTTTGATCCACCTGTATTTTTTAACTTGTCCCATTTTTTTTATATACAACCAAATTTATTTTTAGCAATTTATCACTATATACATTTTATATAATAATACATCACTCGTGTATGCAAAGATCAAGATAATTTCTTTCAAAAGTGCTCAGATTAGATAAAATAAGTGCCATCGCAAACGTAATGTGTTTTTGTGTTCTCGGAAATTGCGCAAAAATTAGGATAAATACAGGCTGCGCCAGAATTCGCGCCCCAGAGAAAAGTGCCATATAAGGTAAGATACCAGGAACATAGAAAAAATGTTAAAAAAATTTTATCTATAAAAATTTCGAAGTTATGAGTGTTTAAAGTTTGCTTTTTGACTCTATTTATTTCTGTTGGAAAAATAATTTTCCAAGTTTTTTGCTATAAACTATTAAAAGAGGAAACAAGGAAGCTGTATCCTAAATTGTAACTCTGTTCAATGTTATTTGTGGCTTTTATTGGCAAAATTTTTGTCCCTTTACTAAACAATTGTAAAAAACATATACAACATCATCAGTATCATTAAATAGATATAAAAAAATGACAAATGTCAAAAAATATATGTCAAAATGTTTTGACAGATAGAATTTTTTAAACATTTTTTTGATGTTCCTGGTATCTTACCTTACTTGGAAATTTTCTCTGGGGCGCGAGTTCTGGCCACCCTGTATATCCAAAAGTTATTAATTAAACGTAAATTAACAACAAAGTTTTTCCCAATTTTCCTTTTACTTTTTCTTATACAAAAAAAACAAAATTGTGTTTGAAAAATCACTACCAACAAGAAAAAATCCCTTATCTGTGACTTATCTTGAACAATTGATTTTATCAAATAGATAGATAAGTGATCAATAATTGCGTTTTAGTACTAGTGGTAATCCCCGAAGCCATGGCTGTCTTGACTAAAGGCGAACAACAACTTCTAAAATACGCTACATTTTTAGGAGTTGTAAGTAAAATCGTGACATTTTCAACTAAATTATGATTTTTTTCCAGTTGCAAGGTCTTACATATGCAATTCTTTCTTTAATATGCATAATTCTGTATCACCAAGAAAATATCGACGCCCATGATATTGAAACATATATGGATACTGTTAGTTACTACTTGTACATGATTTTCTTAAATTGTGAGTAATTAAATGTACTATCAAGGTGGCCTATGACTTTCAGTATTGCCAACTTAGTTTTCAAGTCACACGCCACTTGGTATACAGAATGTGTCAGAACTCACGTCCCAGAGAAAAAAATTAAGTAAGATAAGACATCAAGAACATGGAATTTTTTTTTTAAATCTATCTGTCAAAAATTTTAATTTTTTGACACTTGACGTTTTTTTTATGTCTATTAATTGATACTGATGGTCTTGTATATGTTTTTCATAATTATTTAGTAAAGGTACAAAAATTTTGCCAATAAAAGCCACAAATAACATTAAACAGAGTTACAATTTAGAAAAACTTGAAAAATAACAGAAATAGATAGAAATAAATAGAGTCAAATGCAAAATTTAAACTCTTATAACTTCGAAATTTTTATAGATAGAAACATTAACATTTATTAACATTTTTTATTTTTAATATTTTTTACATTTAAAATATGTAAAATTTTTAGAATTTGTACTAGAAGCTTCTTTTTGTTTCAGCATATTACAAATAAATGTTTCAAGAAACGAATCATTTTCGATATCTCCGAAACCGTTATTTTGTTTATTGAGACTTTTTTTGATTATTTTGGCCCATACTATCACCTCCTGTAATAATGTACAATCTTTTTTTAACACCCTGTAGCATGTACCAGAGAAGTTTTTTGTCCAATTTGCTGATACACTCTGTATAATTAACAAAAAATACACAAGTGGCAATTTTCATTTAAAATTTACTATACTGTTCACAACCATTTTTTTGTATTTTGTGACATCAAAAAATATATTTGCAATTCTCGAGTAAATTTGTTTTTTTGGTTTTACATGATTTGTAGAAAACAATTTTGTAATTAATCACGAGTTAAAAAAATATAGATGTCAGGTCGGGTTAATATGGTGGATGAGTAATTATTACAACAAAATTCATTGGTTATTAATAATTTTAGTTCAAACCCCCTGTATAATTTCACTAACAACTACTTTTTTCAACAGAAATAGACTCAAAGTGCAAAATTTAAACTTCGAAATTTTAATAGATAGAATTTTTTTAACATTTTCTTTGGGGCGCGAGTTCTGGCYCATCCTGTATAATTTTTTTCATGAAACTTTTTCAGCACAAGGCGATTCAAAATTATTTAAAAACCAAACAATGAGTCCTGAAATATTTACAATTTTTGCTTGGATCTATTTCTCCTTAAACTTGTTCTGGATGGGGTTTTCTTTTGATATTTCTCAACAAAACCATCAAAAAATTGCACAAAAAGCAAAGAATTGGGGTGGTATCACAATAATAATTTGCTTGCTTGATTTTATCACTGTCGTTATCTTTGGTGCCGATTACGGAAAATGTTTAAGTGCAGCTAATGACAATTATTATAATAAAACGCAGCTGCAAGAAGTATGTGCAAATGGATTCCTTCCGGCGCTTGTTATCACAGCAAAAGGCTTCACTTTGTGGTTTGTTAACGCGATTTTTGCGAGAAAAGTACTCAAGTTGAGTAAAAAATTGAGACAGGTTTGGGAATTTCACTGTTTTTCTTTTAAATATATAAATTTTTGATTTTCTAGAGACAAGCAACAGTTTTCGTGCAACCAACTCCTCAAACTAGCCCTCCGTAAGCCACTTTAAAGCCGTTTTGAGTAATTTTTGAATTTTTTAATTACAGAGTTGGATTTCTAACTCCTCAACCGGTGGTTCAAAATCCGTACATTCCCCAACCTCAACATCCTCAAAATGTGAACAAAAATCAGTTTGTGTACCCAAATTTTCATATTCCAGAGCCGGATTATCACCACCAGCAAAATTTGCAACCGCAAATGAGGAGGTATTGAGGAAAGTTTTACCCCATTAGTGTTTTTTAGTCAAATAAAATATTTAGTGTCATTGGTTGTTTCATTTTTGTTTTTTATTATAAAAAAGTGAAGAAATTTAAGCTAACGAAAAACAATAAAGCGAAAGAGAAAAAAATCTTGGTMTCGTTTTTGAACTAAAAAATTATTTTTTTCTACTGTCCCAATAAGGATATTTTTGAAGGTTGATATTTTTATCTAATCTTTTTTTATCATGAAAGATTTTTACGAGGTAGAACAAAAAGTTTAAAACCACAACTTTATTAGAGAGCATTTTTTGACAGTTTTTTCATTAAAATTTAACACTTTTCCGGTTAATTAATAACAAACTGATCTAATTCGATTTTAAAACAGGTTAATTAACGATTTTAATACATATTTTTAAATGTTTTGTGTTATAAAAAAGTGAAGAAATTTAAGCTACCGAAAAACAATAAAGCGAAACAGAAAAAAATATTTAGTAAGAAAAAAAATCTTGGTTTCCTTTTTAACTAAAAAATTGTTTTTTCTAGTGTCTCAATAAGGGTATTTTTGAAGGTTGACATTTTTATCTAATCTTTTTTTATCATGAAAGATTTTTACGAGGTAGAACAAAAAGTCAAACCCACAACTTTATTAGAGAGCATTTTTTGACAGTTTTTTCATTAAAATTTAARACTTTTCGGGTTAATTAATAACAAACTGATCTAATTCGATTTTAAAACAGATTATTTTAACGATTATATATATTTATTTTGAAAATTACACCGAATTTGAGCAAAATATTATTTTTTAATTATATATTTCTTAGTTATGGTTTCTCACTCTCACTCTATTGAAATTGTGGTTAGATTTACTTTTCTAATATTGATGTTTTTATAAGCTTTCAATGTCAATAATTATCAAATCTCAATAAAAACTAAAATATTTTAGGAAAAATATTACCAGTTTTCC